ATTTAGAAAAGAGCTGCTTAAATCTTTTGATTTTTATAATTGAGAAAGGACCTGTTAATTGTTTTTTTTTTCTTTTCAATTTTTAGAATTTTTTAATCTTTTATAAGTTGTTGATGTTAGAAAATGGTTCGATATTAGCTAAAATGGATACTTTTATTTTTATTGGTTTGAACTTTTTATTAAGTGCTGTATTATATTTATAGTTAAATATTAAATTTATTTTTTAGTTTTATAAGTATAACTTATTAATATCAATTAATAGTATGAATTAGTCTATTATTGTTAAATAGTCTATGAAGCAAAATAGCTTACTATTGGGCAATTGTATTAATTATATTCAAAATAGAAGGTATTATAACTAATTTCTATATTTTACATATGTTAGCTTTTTTTTAAGTAATTTTTCTGTATAAAATATAAACAGCCCTCTGCATTAGGAAATATTAAGTCTGCAATACTTTGCCTACCACATACATTTTGAGGTTAGCTATGCCCTAATGCTGAACCAATTCTGTTGACTAGAAGCAACTGATTATGTTATAGTAAATTTTTGTTTCCAGTGTATATCTCCAGAGTTATTGTTTCAGTAGTATTTATGCTTGTTAATTATATATATGGATTGTTTTGCGCAAAGTCTAATGTTTGTTTTGCAATAAATAAGAACTGAATTGCCCTTAGGACATTTTTGAACGTTTGAAAGTTAGGTTTTTCTTCTAATTGGGACTGTGAGTCAGTTTTTTCCTAAGACTGATTTAGGACAATAAATAATCTTTTACATTTATAGGGACTGATTGTTGATTGATTTGAGGAATGTATTGTATTATATAAGTATAAATTTAAGGCTATTGCCCAAGCACCATTTTTTAGTTTAGAAAAGGGCTGCTTAAAACTTTTAAACTATATGATCGAAGAAAGAACTGTAAATAATTTTTTTTATTTTAATTCTCTAAAATTTGTTCATCTTATTGAAATTATTGATTTTAAAAAATGGTTCGATATCTGCTAAAAACTTTTACTTTATTTTTTATTGTGTTGAACTTTTTATTTAGTGCTGTATTAAATTTATATTTGAATATTTTTATTTATTTTTGGTATATATATAAATTTGGTATATAAAGTTAAATAATTAATTTATTTTATATATATATATATATATATATATATATATATATATATATATGTATATATATATATATATATATATATATATATATATATATATATTATAAGATTATTTTGCACTAAGTGTAAGGATTCTTTTGCGATAAATAAATACTAAATTGCCCTTGGGATTATTATAAATGTGGGTTTTTATTTTTATTGGGACTGTAAGTCAGTTTTTTTTCTGGACCTTTTTTAAGACAATGAAGATTCTTTTACAATTATAGGGACTGTTTGTTTAATGATATGAGGAATGTATTGCATTATATATGTATAAAGTTCAAATTTAATGCCTAACTGCCATGTTTAGATTTAGAAAAGAGCTGTTTAAATCTTTTGAACTTTTCAATTTAAAAAGGACCTGTTGATATTTTTTTTTTCTTTATAATTTTTAGAATTTGTTAATCTATTGGAAGTTATTGATGTAAGGAAATGGTTCTATATCAGCTAAAATGGTTACTTTTATTTTTATTGGCTTGAACTTTTTATTAAGTGCTGTATTATATTTATAGTTAAATATTAAATTTATTATTTTGTTTTTTAAGTATAACTTATTGTTATTAGTTAATACCATGAATTAGTCTATTATTGTTTAATGTTCTATGAAGCAAAATATTTTACTATTAGGCAATTATATTATTTATATTTATAATATGAGGTAATATAACGGATTTCTATTTTTTACATAAATTAGCTTTTTTTTTTAATAATTTTTTTGTATAAAATGAAACCAACCCTCTGCATTAGGAAATATGAGGTCTGCATTACTTTGCCTACCTCATACGTTTTTTGGTTAGCTATGCCCTAATGCTGAACCAATTCTGTTGGCTAGATGCATATGATTATGATATAGTAAATGATTGTTTTTAGTGTATATATATCCTGAGTTATTGTTTCAGTAGTATTTATGTTTTGAAATTATATATATGGATTGTTTTGCGCTAAGTCTAAAGATTGTTTTGCAATAAATGAGAACTGAATTGCCCCTAGGATATTTTTGAAATGTCAGAAGGGCAATCACTATTTTTAATAATAAAATCATTTTATATTTATATATATATATATATATATATGTATTTTTTTTCTTCAAGCATATTTTGCGCTAAGTGTAAGGATTCTTTTGCTTTAAATATATACTGCCTTCGGGATTATTATAAATGTGGGTTTTTATTTTGATTGGGACTGAGTCAGTTTCTTTTCTAGCCTGTTTTTAGGACAATGAAGATTCTTTTACAATTATAGGGACTGTTTGTTGATTGATATGAGGAATGTATTGTATTATATAAGTATAATATTTAATGGTTATGCCCATGCGCCATGTTTTAGTTTAGAATAGGGCTGCTTAAAACTTTTTAACTTTATGATTGAAGAAAGAACTATAAATAATTTTTTTTTGTTTTTAGTTTCTAGAATTTGTTTATCTTATAGAAATTATTGATTTTAAAAAATGGTCCGATATCTGCTAAAAACTTTTTTTATTTTTTTTTGTTTTGTTGAACTTTTTATTTAGTGTTGTATTAAATTCATATTTGATTATTTTTATTTATTTTTGGTATATATATAAATTATATATATTAAGTTAAATAATAACTTTATTTTATATAATATATATATTTTTTTCAGGACTATTTTGTGCTAAGTGTAAGGTTTTTTTTGCGATAAATAGTTACTGAATTGCCCTTGGGAATATTTTAAATGTTTAAAATTGGGTTTTTATTCTGATTTGGACTATGAGTCAGTTTTTTTTCAGGAATCTTTTTTAAGACAATGAAGATTTTTTTACAATTATAGGGACTGTTTGTTGATTGATGTGAGGAATGTATTGTATTATATAAGTATAAAATTTAATGCTAATGCACAAGCGCCATGTCTTAGTTTAGATAAGGGCTGCTTAACACTTTTAAATTTTATACTTGAGGAAAGAACTGTAAATAATTTTTTTTGTTTTCATTTTCTGGAATTTGTTTATCTTTTAGAAGTTATTGATTTTAAAAAATAATTCGATATCTGCTAATAATTTTTACTTTATTTTTTATTGGGTTTAACTTTTTATTTAGTGCTGTATTAAATTTATAGTTGAATATTTATATTTATTTTTGGTATATATATCAATTTTATATATAAGTTTAAATAATAAATTCTTTTTATATATATATATATATATAATTTTTTTTTATTTATGATTATTTTGCGCTAAGTGTAAGGATTCTTTTGCGATAAATAAATACTGAATTGCCCTTATTTTTTTAAAAGTGGGATTTTCTTCTGATTGAGACTGTGAGTCAATTTTTTTATGGACATTTTTAAGACAATGAAGATTTTTTTACAATTATAGGGACTGTTTGTTGATTGATATGAGGAATGTATTGCTTTATATGAGTATGTCTGAGTGCCATGTTTAGATTTAGAAAAGAGCTGCTTAAATCTTTTGAACTTTATTATTGAGATAGGACCTGTTAATAGTTTTTTTTTCTTTTTAGTTTTATTTTTATTTTTTTTTATTTTTATTAACTTAAACTTTTTATTAAGTGCTGTATTATATTTATAGTTAAATATAAAAATTTTTTAGTTTTATAATTATAACTTATTACTATTAGTTAATACTATGAGTTAGTCTAATATTGTTTAATGTTCTATGAAGCAAAATAGCTTACTATTAGGCAATTATATTAATTATATTTATATTACGAGGTAATATAACCGCTTTCTTTTTTTAACATAAATAAGTCTAAAGCTTTAAGTCTAAAGATTGTTTTGTAATAAATGAGAACTGAATTGCCCCTAGGACATTTTTGAATGTTTGAAATTAGGTTTTCCTTTTGATTAGGACTTTGAGTGACTTTTTTTTGAGACTTATTTAGAACAATATTTATTTTTTCACATTTATAGGGACTGTTTGTTGATTGATTTGAGGAATGTATTGTATTATATAAGTATAAAATTTAAGGCTATTGCCCAAGCACTATGTTTTAGTTTAGAAAAGGGCTGCTTAAAACTTTTAAACTTTATGATCGAGGAAAGAACTGTAAATAATTTTTTTTGTTTTCAATTTCTAGAATTTGTTTATCTTATAGAAATTATTGATTTTAAAAAATGTTTTGATATCTGCTAAAAACTTTTACTTTATTTTTTATTGGGTTGAACTTTATATTTAGTGCTGTATTAAATTCATTGTTGATTATTTTTATTTTTGGTATATATATAAATTCGATATATAAAGTTAAATAATTAATTTTATATATATATATATATATATATATATATATATATATATATATATATATATATTTATATATATATTCATATATATAAATTTATATATATATATATATATAAATATAAATAAATATACAAATATATATATACATATATATATATATATATATATATATATATATATATATATATATATATATATATATATATATATATATATATATATATATGTATATGTATATATATATATATATGTATATATATATATATTTTTATATATATATATATTTATGTATTTATATATATATATATATATATTTATATATATATTTGTTGTTTCATGTTTGTTTTTCGCTAAGTCTATGGATTCTTTTAGGACAAATGAATACTGAATTGCCCTTTGGACATATTTAAATGTTAGAAATTAGGTTTTTATTCTTATTAGGACTGTAAGTCAATTTTTTCCGGGACTGTTTTAGGACAACAATTGATTTTTTACAGTTTTAGGGGCTGTTTGTTGATTTATATGAGAAATGTATTGCATTGTATAAGTATAAAATTTAAAGCTAATGCTTAAGCTCCTTGTTTTGATTTAGAAAAGGGCTACTTAAAACTTTTAAACTTTATGATGGAGGAAAGAACTGTGAATAATTTTTTTTGTTTAAAATTTCTAGATTTTGTTCATCTTTTAAAATAATTGATTTAAATTAATGGCTCAATATCTTGTAAAAACTTTTTCTTTTTTTTTTATTGGGTTGAACTTAGTGCTTTGAATTTAGTGCTGTATGAATTTCTTGGTTGAATATTTTTTTTTTTTGTTATATGTTTCAACTTTTTATATAGAGTTAAATAATATGTTTATTCTATATATATATATATGTATATATATATGTTGTTTCATGATTGTTTTGCGTCAAGTCTAAGGAGTTTTTTTGCGATAAATGAATACTGAATTGCCCTTGGTAACCTTTTAAACGTTTGAACTTAGGTTTTTGTTCTGGATAGGACTGTAAGTCACTTTTTTTCTAGAACTGTTTTAGGACAATAAACAATCTTTTTCAGTTATAGGGACTGTTTGTTGATTGATATGATGAATGTATTGCATTTTATAAGTATAAAATCTAATCCTAATGCTTATGCGCCATGTTTTAATTTAGATAAGGGCTGCTGATAATTTTTAAACTTTTTGATCGAGTAAAGAACAGTGAATAATTTTTTCTGTTTTTAATATTAGAATTTGTTTATCTTTTTGAAATTATTGGTTTAAAACTATGGTTTGATATCTGCTAAAAACTTTTATTTTTTTTTATATTGGATTGAACTTTTTAATTAACGCTCTATTAAATTTATTTTTAAATAATATTTTTATTTTTTAGTTATTAAAGTCTAACTATTTACTATCAATTAATACTATGAATTAGTCTATTATTGTTTAATAGTTGATGAAGCAAAATAGCTTACTATTTTGTTTTTTGTTTTTGTTTTTTTTTTTTAATTTTAAATCCTTTTTGCTTCTTACAAGGCTGCAAGCAACCACTAATCAGTGTTGGAAGTTACTGGAAGAGAAAAGATGAAGAATGTAGAACAAGATAACGATTGACAGACGACTTAAAAGATTGCAAATTATATGAACCAGGAAAGCAAGATGAAGGAAGAGAATTTCAAAGAAATGATGTTGGAGGAAAAAAGCTAGACAAATAAGAGTTTTTGGAGCACTTATGAACAGTAACAGAAAAAAGATGACACTTAATTAAATGACGAGTAACACGAGAATGAATTTTAGTAAATGGCACAA